CGTTGCGGTGATTTTTCGGTAGATCTCGTTGTCTGTTGAGCAATGTTAAATTTGCCATTTACATCGCAGTTACCTGTTAATAACTAAATAATTAGGTCTTCTATCCACTAACTAATATGCCCAAAGCTTACGTTTGTTAACAAAAATGTTCGGACCATCCTGCTGAGTGATAAGACCTCCACTATTTCCCCTCTGGAAAGTGATGCCAGTGTTGAAAGAAGCCTAAAATCGTCTTCTATTCTCTTTATAACTCACCAGCATCGGAACAAAACACAAGTGATGATAAATTTACTAATGTGGACATAGTTAAGCAAGGTGATCTTTGTCAATGTTTGGATAAAGCAATGCATTTAATAAATGAACCAAAATGAATGCATAAGGTTGTTTCGTAGTGTACGAATTGAACCGATTTCGTGGTGGGCCGTGGTTTTACTCTGTAGCTCAGGAGCTATGTCTGATCGCTTTGTGGGTCAGGAACTTTATACCGGTCACCGATGTTCGATTGTTTGAGTTCTTTGGATTCTGGCTCCTCGTCCGCTTTGCTAAACCATATGCCGTAAGAGAAGTAGATTACCAAACCTGTAGGCGACGCAAAAGAGGGAGTAACCGTGTTAAGGAAATAAAATTTCTTCATAGATTAATTGCTTTTTTGAACAACAGGGAATATGTTTGAGACCGGCTTATTATGGTTCCTTGAGAGATCGACAGTTATCTTTTTGTCTCTGTCTGACTAGGTGAGATAGGCGGTGACCGCTAAAGAAAGACGGCATGGAGATGCTTTGGCTACCACACAGTTCTTCTGGAGAACCTCTGAAGGGCTAAGTTCTCCTCGCTGGTCAGTTCGCCGAACTTGGAAGTTGGATTGCAAACGATTCCTTACAAATCTAGGTGACTTTGTCAGTGAGGGGTTCAGTGTGTTAGCTCCTGGATCGGCTGCCTTGTTCTTGTGCCGTTTTTTTAAAAAAAATCACGAAAAAAAGGAGGTTAGCGGATCATTTACTGTCCGTTTAGGGAACCCGATCATAGCGTGATTTCAAAGCAACGTTGGGTGTAAGATGAAAATATCCCCACTGTTACTTGTTACTGAAAGTTTATCAAAATTCCGACCGATAGCACAGGATTCGTATAAGAATGTACCCATTATTCTGGGTAGTTCGCTAATATCTATATGATGCATGAACAGCAAACAGCCACTGGGTTTGAGCAGATCGCAAACTACATATCAGGAACTGGTAAACAAGAAACCCAACGAGGCTTCTGCTAGAAAAAGAGCTCCTGAATACTGAAGTTTTCCGGTAACGACAAAATAGTCATCCAGGGCTCCACTTGTGTGATTGTATAAACATTGTAAGAGGTGTGCTTGGCCACCTGACAATTAATGAATAAATAAATAGATAATAAACTAAATAAATAATTAATATGTAGTAGAAAGATCCGACACTTGGGTGTGAGTTCTTTTTACTTTGCATCAGAATATAATTGCTCGATCTTCTTAACTGAATATTATACTCACATGGCGAAATCTACGGTGACACTGAAATCACCGCTCAAATTATAAATATAAACCTAGATTTGCGAAGGAATTCACTCTGTGCTGAAAAGCCAAGAGACACTGCGGAAGTTCCACGTTTGTTGGGGACCACTGGTAGTGGCTATCTCATTAGTAGCCAAGTAGACTCAAAACCATAACCCTCCGGATGGTGTTGGAAGAACACACAGTTTGGCCATCAATGGTCGATTAGGATGTATACAACTATCCTCCTTTCTTGTAGGTTTTCTCATGGTGGATCAAGCCAAGACAGCACGATTACGCATCTGTTGGTAGGAGTTGATCAGAGCAATAAGTGCTGTGACTGAATGACATCATCCGACATCCACGTCAGATGCCGATAGCATAAGACTTTGACGGCCTAAGCACATCGATTCCAATGTGCGTTTTATCGCTATTGTCAGTCGGCTAATCAGCATCCTAGCACACAGTTGTTTACAGAGATGGCTGGAGACCGATTAATCATCAATACCAACGGTACAATGCAGGCACAATGCACACCAGTAGTACCTAACACGGTGAAGAGAACACAGCGTCACATTAAGTTCACATAAATCAACTGAGCTGGAGCACCGTCCTAGATTCAACAGCCAGTACAAAGAGTAAGTCCAGGAATCAAATCTTGTTCACCAACACAACACCGAAAAGTGAACATATGGCCAGTGATAATCAGACTCCTGAAAGTCCCTACCAAAGGAAGGGGTGAAATTTTTAGTGAGTTCTTGAATTCTCCCCTATTCGGTCGATTACTTGATCACTTCCCCTAACCGGTTTGGTTCTCGGCGCCTTTAGTTACTGCTGAGCAGAATACAGATTTGCAAAAGGAACGACTAACAAGTTGTCTTATGATTTTCTTTCCAAACAACTTAAGTGTTCTTAGTGTTACTGGACTGTTTAATTCCAACCTAACTAGGGTTTTAGCACGATGTTTTCTTCACGTGCGGCAAAACCCTATCTATTGTACGAATTACTGGACTTTGCACAAAACCCAAATCAATCCTAACTGACATGCAAGTAGAGCATGAAAAACCAAATGACCTTGTTGACAACTAAAGATCTGCATTAGTGAACGTGTCGATGAAAATAAAGTTGGTGAATCACGTGGTTGCATAACAACAGCAAAATTAAGAGTATTAGTTGACCTAAGTTAAATCATATTCATAAAGTCCGGTGCAGTCACTAAATACTAGCGTTTAGCCTATATATGAATCAAACCAAACTTTAAAGTGAACTTACCAATAGCGGACCAGATAACGAAGCGAAGCCAAGTTAGGGGCTCCATGCTAGTGATCAGGATGCCGTTAGCCAGAATTGTTATACACGGAGCAACGGGCATGATGGGTGTCTAAAATAAAAAGTGAAAACTGTCATCTTTCGGGAGTTTGAGACTATTTGCCGGTGAAGACTGAGCATCCAGATCTATCAACAAAGTAGTTAACTGTACCTAACTTCACACGCGCACTACTTTCCAAAAGAAGAAAACAGGACTGGAGCCCCTGCCTAGTTTAAACTGCTATGTGTGTGCAATGAACGGGATTGTTCCACATAAGCCCTGATGATATTCTGACAATTTGGACGTGGTCCGTTGTGAGTACGGAAGCAGGTCCAGCTTTCGGACTGTCTTTGAAATCATTCATTCCATCGCTCCACTGCCTATCTCGAGGTTTTCAGATGGTCGTTTATCGTTTTCTTCGGTTTCTTCGTGCGAAAGTATTGTCACATAAGCTTCCGGTTGAAACAACTGTTATAGTAGTTGGTGCAAAAAACCTGGACACTGGTGGATTGAAATAAATACAAATTTGCTTGATCTGTTGGCCAAACACCGATAAGACGAAGAATAACACCTAAAATTTCCTCACTGCTACACAAACTGGTTGATGGATACGTGGTATTCCCGTAATCAGAGAAACGCGTCTGGTCCGTTTACACTTATCCGGTGAAATGCAACAATGACCAACCACCCAAGCGACTTTTTTTAGCGGTTTTTCAAATTTCCACATTGGGCGGCGGAATAAAGTAGTAGCAGAGCTCAATATAGCAAACAGATGAATTACCCATACTGGTAGCGGTTCAAATCCCTGCATGAACGTTCAAAACAATTTCAGACGGACATTAGTGGGAAAGACGTATGAATATTTGGATAAAGGTGTATTGGATGTTCTCCTCTTGGTGACATTAAATATATCCACTTCCTCTTTTCCCAAATCAGGGTCAAATTTATCTAAGCAGTGTAATACCGTGCTTCTCCATTGGAACCACACTCAGTCCCTATATTGCAAACAGGCAGACGAATAATATGGTCACCTGAAATGTTCTGCTGTACGTTTGGCTATATGGAGTTGAAAAAACTCTGCCGATACAGAAAATGGTCCATACCAATTCAGTATAAAATGATACCAGATTGTATGATCCGATATGGAAACTGGCTTTCTGTGCCAACAAGACACAGGGTAGCATCGGTGAGAGCTCGGATTTAATAGAGCATTTAGTGGATTCAAGACCGATTTTTTGCACTGAACCCTTCCAACAGCAGTGGTAAGTTAATTAACTCAGCAGTAAACGGTAGATGCATGTCCTAATCATATTTTTTACTCGGCTATTGGACCGAGTGGACAGAACGATGGATTACCATTTTGGCAATCGGATTTACATGCCCCACAAGCCCCAACAAAGTGACCGTCTGCTTTCATCCTGATAATCCTCACAGTCCTATCAAAACTAAAAACGAAAAAAAATTAGCACAGTTCATCTCATCTACAAAGTAACCTAAACCGAATCTTGGCTGAATTCTCTGTTTGTGGTACACTTCATATGGGCCTCCTCATGTTTCAGTTACTACGACATTCGAGGTAAGAAAGTACAATTTCTTCGATGGGTGGTATTTAAGTAAAAACGGTTGGTAACTCTAGCACTGGTGTTATTCTATTCCTCGACTACCTCAGGCTGAGTTGAAGTGTTCAAGCATTCATTTCAGCATAGAATTCATGGTTGAACTGATGCTGATTTTAAGCAACGTTGAATCAGCCGTAGACAGCCTGTCGTTTTTTTCCAGCTTATTTGGACACCACTCAAAGGATCTTTGCCAGGCCAGAACCTTAGATAATAATATGTGCTATGTCGATAAACCGCCTATATGCATCCATATCTGGATGGTATAAATGAGAAATGAGAGGTCGCAAACCAGTAGGGTCTCGAAGTCAAGTACAGATTGACCTCACTGGCAATGGGGTCATGCGTTCAATTAACGGTGTTTCGAGTCCATCTCTTTCTCTATAAGAGACACTTGTCCCTATGGGGTATTGCTGCTCCGATTGGAGTTTCCTAGCCCACTCAAATCGCTGCTACCTACTTTCACGCCTACTAAGCCCTGATGTTGGTCATCGGTGCTATACAATTTATGTCATTCTGGCCTTTGTAAAAGAAAATTTCTATGAGTTAGCTTATTCACACATGTTCCAGACGGGTAGAAACCAATGCTTGAGAAATCGTTCCGTCTTATATGGTATTTTTCCACGTTCACGCTTGCGGGAAATTTACTGATTGTTGTTCAGGTAACAACTCTATCTGGTTTTCACGTAAAAAAAGGTAATAAGCAAGGGCGTGTGAGGAGAGATGAAGGCCTCCCCTGAAAAAAACAGTAATGATCTGTTGAGTTGAAGTAGACAAATGCCTGAACTATAACGTCAGACTGATGAAGCAGTTTGGTTGGTGGAGAATACGCAGTGTATAAAAAACCACGAAATGAATCCATGACCTGAACATAACCCTACGGGATAGAGACTCTACTGGGGCACGGTAGGTGAATACTAGTTTTTAGTTCTACGAATAAACTTTTGAGGATCTCTGGAAAAGCTCCTGCTGTTTGCCAGGCAACGATGTTGGCAAAGTGCTGCAGAACCTTCGGCAATGAGGGAACATTAAATCACAGTTTATGTGAATGTTTTGACTAGATCACACACGTAATGTTGTCACGAGAGAATTTATACCTGCCCGTTCACGGAGTAGCTCCAAAGTCTTTGTTCCTCAGCTTTTATCAAGCTTTTACCTTCCTGTAATAAGTGTTTGCAGGAAATTGCGGTTGTATTCCAACTAGCCGTTTCATCGAAATGACCGGATGAGATTTTCTGAGGAATTCAGTTTTTCAGCAATGATCAACGGCAAGCATATAAGGAGATTTTGAATGTACTTGGCTGATGAAATCTTCTAGGCTCAATGGTTTTGTGTGAGCTTCTGTTTAAAATCTTGCATCTTGACAATCTGTAGATTTCCCCCTGTCATGCTTAAGCTAAAGGCTCAATTTCGAACACTAACTGAATGACCCATATAAGAACGGCATCATATCCCGTAAAATCACTCGTTAATTTGGGTCACAATCTGCGTAAATGTCGTTGCGTGATATAAACGGTGGGAAGCTGCATTCTGTGAGATCTTGTGTTTTCACGTAAGCTGTGGAGAATCAACAGGAATTTCCTAAGAACACAGTGGACACAGACAGGGCGAATTCTGACAGACATGTTCTCGTTGTATGACAAAGAGACAAATCCATTTTCGGTTCTCCTTAAAATGTTAATCCTTTGTCACGAATATCGTGACAGTACCTTACTTTGTTGCATGTATCTTTCCTGCAATCGCGTTTGTTGATCACTGCGGAGCATCAGACATCTATGATTTCTGTAAGCATGCATGGTCAGCGGGGTTATGCCCCGTGTTTCAGCCGGCATGGCGGAAACATTGAGTGCAGTTTGGAAAATTCTTCAGTGATGACTAGACCGATCCTGCTAATCTGTGAAGTCAAAAATTCCACACATCCGTGACCTTCAATAAGATGAATCTGTGTACTTGAATGAAGCGCACATTGGGCATTAAGGAGACAACTAATGTAGTTGGGGTGAGTGCAACTTCGAGATACAACTTTAGATATAACGTTTAGAAGTGAAATTAGATATATTTAATGATGAACGTTTTTTGGATCAAACATATGAGAGCTGCAGAAACAGGCTGGAACAAATCACTGCCAATTTCTGCTTGCGTTATATCAAACTACAAATGTTATATTAGAAGAATAACGTGACTACGAATACTGGTTTTCCTTTGTACGTAAAGGCACCTCCGAAACAGGATGTTCCATGAGACCCACTCTCCTAATGCGTTTAGTTTCAGTATGTCTCACCAAACTGCTGTTGTGATAAGCCTGAAACGAGATTCGCCAGTATGGCTAGAACATCTGCAGCACATGTGTTACCCACCTCACCGCATGCACTGTTTCTCTTAAAAGAAAAAATATCTAGACTAAGATACGCTCACTGAAAAAGAAGCCACACCATTTATGAACATCATTTATTGTACCTATTACTCTAATTCGATCTCATCATCAACCTAATTTGTGGTCAGTTTCTGTCCTCTGTTGTTTAGTTTCAGATTAAATTCAACGCACAATGAGGGCTAGAATATAATGAGCCTGAGAGTAACGGAAGTCTCTTTCCTTCTAGATTGCCTGGCACCTCAGCGGACTGTTTTCCGAGAGCGGGAAGCAATTTAAACTAATGATTACAGTTATTGAAGAGATCCAGTAGTTTTCGACAAAGATTTTATACTGCAAGTGATGTATATTTACGCGAGAAAACAAAGAAGCAGTTTACATCTAATTTAACTTTGCTGGAAATCACCAGCAATACAAATCCCAAAAGCATCTGGAATGGTCCAAAACTGCCACATTCCTGTTGGTTGGTGAACAGTATAAAGTTGGATAAAGAGTGGCTGAGTATTGGTGTGCCTTAATTAGCCCACTTTCCGGCTACACTGTCATGCCAAAAAGGGAGATGCGAGAAGTAAGTTTGCTAGATGGAAAGACTGGTAGTTGGATGGCCCTAATCGTTTTTAGGTTGGAGATTTTGTATGTATCAACGGTGCTATCGTGGCAAAGTTCAAAGGCATTTCAGGCGGAATGGCTGTTACACCGTTCCAGTGAGTTGGCACCACGCAAACAGAGGGAAGCAAGAGGGTTGTAAATAAGAGGCCCAAATGAGAGCGTTCGAGCAGGCAAGCAGGTTGGCCTCGAGATCTGCTCTTGTCAGTGAGTAGAGCAAAATATGAAATTCTTGGTCAAGAAATAACTTGTCCTTCTGATTTCGCTTGTTTTAGGCGCCCCTCGACCTATAAACGTGCAAAAGTTGAGTAATGCATTGCCCTATGGTCGTTTCATCTTGTTCTTCATTTGCCACGGATTCTACCAAAGAAGGTACGAAGACATCTTATTCTTGTCTCCTCACCTACTGTTCAGAATCAGTGATGACGAATTCGGTGATTACTTTACCACGTTCAAAATTACCCTAGAGATTGTAGTGACATAATTGTGTTAGATTTCCTTGGACAGGAAACAATAATCAGTTGTCATCTGTGTGAACAAATTTCTTTAGACTGTTAAATTGACTAAATGAGACAAGCCTATTGAAAAATTCTGGCAAATAGTCCGGCTACGTAGACGTGAATGTTGATGTCCACCAAAATACTCCAAGTGTAGAAGTAGTTTTTTGATTTTATCACACCCAAGCCTTGTTCCAAATACATTCCTAGTGTTCAATAATTCACAGAATGCGATAAGATACCAGGCTAATTCACACGATGACACAAACTTTTGAGTTGCACTGTACTAGCTTAAGCTTACTTCGAATCCTTTTAAGTTTCTGTGTGGCTGATAGAAGCAGAGTAATACAAAAGTGAAGAAGCAGATAGCCCCGGATATTCCACACAAGATCCAGACCCAGTTGATGTGGTTTTTAACAGCGACATTTAGCGTGATTCCAACGAAAATAACGGCAGTTGTGTAGATGAGTAGTAGTGTGTTAAAATTTTTATCTGATTCGAGGTCACGTAAGCACACTGGAATATATTTGCGAAGACGCACGGTGGATGGTTTTGGATCGACCTTGAGTGATGGTTTCTCATCAAGAGAGTATTCATGTTCTGCATTCTCGACTAGAATCTCGGATCCATCATCTGTTAGGTAGTGCAGTTCACTAACCAAGTAACGTAACACCATAAGGTCGAGACCAATCACAAAGTAACAAAAGATGATCCCGACCGAGGTGAACTGCGCCAATGCTTTGACGTTGATGAAAGTGGCCAGGAGGATTGTGACAATACCGCCAATAAGTAAACTCCAGAGGGGTACACCCGTTCTCTTCTCCACAAATGCCATACATCCAAACAGCAGGCCATCATGTGCGATGGAATAGAACATACGTGGAATGACGTACATTGCGACCAGTTTTGTGGCACCTGTAGCCAAAATGGTAGCAAATGCTGCAAAACCCATCATCCCCAAATTGTCCACTTGGGCAAATCCCGACACATAAGGTGACTCGTAAGATAGGCTCTTTGGTGGTACCAGATAAGCCAAGCCAAGTGACGCAGTGATATACAGCACCGCACAAATGATCAATCCGCCAAACAAAGCTATCGGTAGATCACGGCGTGGATTACGAGCTTCTTCACTGGCGTTTGCTACTGCTTCGAAACCAGAAAATGCAAACACTGCCAGTCCGGCCCCACGCAAAAGTCCGTCGATTCCGTATGGTAGAAACCCACCGTAGTTCGTTAGGTTTGATGGACTTCCAAGCAAAAAGCAGGCGATGGTTATCACAATTAAGCTTGCAATTTGTAGGCCGGAGAGGACAGCGTTGATTGTAAGGGAAATATGCGCGCCGGTAATTGTGAGGAGAATCAAGATTAGGATGAATGCGGCAGCCACAACGTCAGGAGTAGTGTCGAACAGCTCGGTATATGACATTTTGACAAGGTGTTCTTCTGACCAATTTCGAATAGTGTTATTAGTTAGAAGGTTGATTGTGCCGGAGAGGGCTTTGGAAATGGCAGCTGTCGAGACTATGACATCAGAGATCATGGTCCATCCGATGAGAAACGCCGGTAGCTCACCAAACATCAGATAGGTATAGATGTAAGCAGAACCTGCGCGGGGGAATAAGGTTGTGAATTCTGCGTAACAAAGCGCTGTGAAGATGGAGGTCACCACAGAGATCAAGTAGGCGAGAGAGGTTGCCGGTCCTGTATAATCACGAATCAGCTGGCCCGTTAACACATATAGCCCAGCTCCGACCATGTGAGCTACACAGTAAAGGGTCAGTTGGGGGGCATTCAGACATCGTTTTAACTTTGTGTCCAACGTGGTGTCTTGTGTCACCTTCCTGGTGCGTATCAAACGTCGACCGAATTCCGAACATGTGATGCATTGATATTTCATGATGGTCTATATACATATTCTGCTTTATGAAATGTGTCCATTAATCTAGGATTATCCTGAAGTTGTGAAAGCGAAGCAGTCAACTACAAAGACCGCAACGATTGCACCATTATCACGTTCTTATCATCCTTCAAACAAATCGACCAATCACCAGCTCGACGTTACAATTGGTGCACAGAGCACAGTGAGCAGTGGCTTCAGATGAAGACATTTGGTTGTATGTAAACTTCGTAGGACGGCTGTAAGACCAACTAAGGTCAGTGGTCAAGGATACCTTATTACTCCAAAAGCACACAGTCCCTTTTATTCGTTTTACTCTCAATTTTCCAAACAATAGCACCTCTGTTTTGTATCCGTGACATGTGCAGCACTTTCTCAGGTCATTATGCTTAGTATAAGGGTGTGCTCCACTTGGGTCGAAACTAATCAATAAGTGGTATGCACATGACTGTAGGTCAATAATTTTCGCACTGTTTGTCCATTGCAGTTTATTACCTGAAAGCTCACAACGTTTTCTGTTGTAAGGGAGGGAGGATGCAAGTTAAAGCCGATCTCAAAGTAGAAACGTGGTCATAGATGATTGAGACGATTAGCTTGTGTGAGTAATTTCTTCTGTAGCTGATCAGGCACATTTAAAACAAACAAATTTTCAGTTTAATGTAATTCAGTCGATGATCTGGTCAGACAGCGGAGTGCTGCAACTTGAAGGCATTTCTGCAATATGCCATTTTGGAACAAATTTCCGTGCCCTATACACAGCTCTCAAATAATCTAGGGTAACCAGGAGTTCCCAGTTCTTTGACTTTGTGAAAATTTCTATCCTTCGAAAGGCGTATCATCGACTGAGCAACGTCAGTAGTCCATATTCCGTCACAAGAAATTGAAGCAAGACGTAGTGGAATAAGATGTCGTAGTCCGACGTTTCGATGACCAAGGGTTTCCGGAATCAGTTGAATACGAGTCAAATGCAGCGTCATTTTGTCATGATAACGGATGTGAAACGCTGAGAAATCACCTAAACCCCTCGAATTCTGTAATGGACCTGACTTGGTTTTTATTGCTGTGGACTCTCATATGGCAATCTGAGCGAAGTTCGCGAATTGTGACCCAGAACCCCATAAAATTGAAGTTTGTAGATTGGTTGTTTAGGCCAGTCGCCTCAATCCCCGTAAGGCACACATTGTTCTCCCAAAAACATTACTTTGATTTTTGAAACTGCGGAACACCCGTAAAAAGATACGTATTTCTGCAGAGTCGTATTTAGGGAGTTTGGAAGAAACTCCACGACGGTTGCGATTCAAAATAGTGCTGCACTACTTGATTGTTAATCAGTGCGCTGAGCTTGACAGCTCACAAACGTTTCAATAGCAATCTAGGTGCCATCGTCATTGAGGGGATGAATGAGCAAATTTTTTTCAGCCTGTGCAAACGTAGTTCTTAACTTGTATCTACTAAGTGCAAAGTGATTTGATGGTCCCGATGTAGTTTTCGTGTGATTTGGTTAGTCAGCTGGGTGTCTCGGTTACATTGTTATCTTATTACATTTTATCCGATAAGTTCGTTGAGCGTCTTCATTTCCACAGTTATGTTTCTAAAACTACGCTAATTCTCCGTCAAAATTTGGCTCCAAAAAAGCAGGAAAATTCCGTCAACAACTTATAAAAGTTTCATGGGAGACGTAAGAATAATCTTAAGTTGCAAGACTACCTGGTACACGAAGCATCGTTTTCTGCTACCATAGACGGTGAGTGGTTAACGGACAACTGCGGTGTCGTGTCTGAACTACACGAAGGTACGGTCAGGAAGTGGCAAAGGACATCAAGTTACAATACCGTTTTTTAGTGTGGGATATAAGCCAGATGACCAAAAATGTTCTGGTAGCATGACTGGAAAAGAGGGAACCTAAATTGAAGAGCGAATGTTTTTTCCTGGAGCTCTTTTCCGAAGCTTTGTGTAACAGATATGCACAAATCTTGGACGGCTTTGAGACCTCCAGTACCACGCTGAAAGTGTATTGAAACAGTTACGAAGATAGATAAAGAACAAAGTGCTGTGGAAATCTTGAGATAAGTGAAAGAATAATGCAGCCAAATGACGAGCTAAATCTTATCTAGCAACCACTGAGAGAGAAAAGTAGAGCAATCGTTTTGAAGGATATTATCATGGAAAAGGAGGCGTTTGGCTACCCTAGAGAAATCGATGAGTTCTGGCAGGATTTTCAAAGACACGGTAACTTTCCCGTCGAAAACGGACTCTATTCAGAACCATCACCATCTTGATGCTACACAAAACTTATTGAATTTTAATGATCACTCGCTGTCCCATCGTTCGCGTCTCACGCCAATGATTATTGGGCATGTCAGAAGTCAGTAGACAGCAGGGATCCACATGCTGCAGATGGGGCACTGCGACTACGTCTGTGTTGTACTTAGTCTGTTCAGCCGAACGAATCGCGCGATGAACTTGTACTGTTCGGTGGTTTAGCCCATTATAACGCGTGGTTAACTGTTTGCAGCGCGGAAACTGTGATTGTGACGAGACAGCTGGGTTTCTTGTCCACGTTTCTGCAAACAATAAAGCCTGCTACCGCTATATCACTGCGGTTATGGCTTGTGAACATCACCAAGCGAAAAAGCTATCTCAGGTTCAGATAGCGGTTAAACGGTGATACTACTGATAGGAGGCACGCGAGTAGTATGCGTTGTTCATGGAATTTCGCTTTGCGTCTTTTGAAAAGGGGAGATCTGCTGCGGAATTCGTAGAGTCACTTTTTAATATTTGCTTGGATTTGAGCGAGGAATGATTGGAGTCAATGAATCTGCAGGAATGTCCAAGGAGACGCGTTCATGAGAAGATGGATGTCCACTTTTTGTAAATAAGATGCAAATTAGAGTTTTGCTTCCCTGTCCAATGGTCTGTAACCGGTCAGTTGGCATTTCCCAATAAGTAACTCCGCCGGGAGGGCCTTCTCCATTTCACCCGTAGGTTCACCTCTTTTTTTACACTGGATTCCCAGTTCTTCAGTAAAAGATATATCAAGCTGGTAAGGAGTGAGTGCCAAAGTGATTTAGAGGGTCCACAATGGTTTGACTGGTATCAGCGAAGCAGACTGTTCGCTTCTATCACATCTGACAACGTACACCACGGAAAAAGCTGCAAAAGTAGTACTGTTTTGTCTTTGCCTACCACAACCCCTCTTCGATCCCACTGTGACCACCTGTTCATTTCTGCTGAATTTCTTCACCGTTTTTGCAGTCGTCTTTAGACGTCTACCTATCTCGTCTCCTCACATAAAGTACATATTTTCAACATCTATCTCACTAACACTGCGCACAAGAGTTGATAGTATAAGTCAAATGGTTACTATAGCATTGACCAGATGGCTTTTGTCCGTTACACGACAGCCTCACTATTCATTGTACTTATTTCGCGTTTCATGTCATAGGCCAAACAGATTGAGTTAAGGTCAACATGTGTATTGTATTGTATTGTATCGTTATATTAAGAGAGAAAATATTACTTTAGTTGTATTTTGTACAACAATGGCAATAGTAAATAACGGCACTAACAAAACAACACTGAGACGCCACCAAAATATCGACGTGACCAGCTCCAAATTCGCTATTTTTGTTATGACGACCAAACCGAAAATAAAGGGGCTCTGAGTGGCCAAAGAAGATGCTAATCTAGCTATCAACCAAGAAACGAACATTGACCGTTCTTATAATAAATCCCAAAGCATCTTTTCAACCAGTTTTCACCTAATGCTTTTGAACTTTCAACCCTTTAATTTGCCAAACAAAAGGGATTCGTCTAAATGCGGAGACACTAAGAAGAAACTAGAATAGACTTCAGAAAAAGCATGAATTGTCATTTTCCACAAGCTACGATGTAGCAAGTGGATTTCAATTAAATTGTGAAGGACTTAGGGACTCCTGAAATGTGGTCCGTTTGAATGAACTTTGGTTAGGCAAAGTCAGATTTGGGTAAATAATGATTCGTATCAAGGTGTGAACCAGTCCTGTCCACAAGCATCTCTCTTTAAATACTCTTCGTGGACAGCGACTATGTCAAGCTGCACAAACGCATCAGCACTAAACACAGACTGATGTAACCTATCATGCTGTTATGTTGCTTGAAGAAAGACTAGTTGAAATCTTTTTCGCCATTTTCAATTGCCCAGGGACTGACTTGATGTTGCAAAATCCTCTATCGTGAGACTTAAGCAAGTAGGAAATGAATACCATGGAGTTGTACGAAACTCACGTAAGTTCACCCTTGGAGAGAGGTCATTTAGAACACGCCGCCTGTCGTAGAGATCCGGATAGATTGTGACGCTCACTGAAAAAATATTTTTTAAACATCTCAGTGCAAAAAATCTCTAGCAAAAAATTTAAACTAGACAGAAAAATCTATGCAGTCGGTTGATTGCTTCAGTATTTTCATGGAAGTTACCTCAAGTTTTCCAACCTTACACTTGAACAAGCGAAAATTGTAGGAAATGTTTAAACGCAATATCTGAGATCGATTCTGTTTCATTGCTGGTCAAATCCTCCGAATATTCTCAACAAATTCGTTGAAATCAACTTCAGATTCATTGTTTAACTAGAAAATAACCGAAAAATCGTCCCCGTGAAATCTCCATACAATAAATAGTTGAGGCGGAATGCTAAAAGTGTCACAGTCATCGATCTGTTAACTGATTCTCGTCTTGCAACATAAATGTTGCATTTCACTTAGAAGCAGAGGGGCGTTTTTGTTATTTTCTCATCATCCATGAATTTCGCTAAAATTTAGTTATCTTTTTCGAGATCACTGGATCAAATTTTGTGCAAACATGTCTTACGGATGATGCCATCAATCCGGGGCGCAATTTACACTTTGGCAAGAAAAGGGTGGCCTTGAAATAATTCTATCGCCGAATGGATATAGCGCTGCGTCAAAGCTGTATTTGACCGGAAAAAAAACGACTGCTTTATTGTGCAAACATGTCTTACGGATGATGC